CCCCGCTCGGCGGCGCCCGTGTGCCCGAACGCCAAGCTCGGGGTTTGCCGGGCTCGCGGCTCCCTGCGCCGGAGCCGCGCGGAGAAGCGCTGCGCTCCCCGCCGCCGAGGTCAGAGACACGCGCCAGGGAACTAAGCGTAGCCCATCAAGAGCCTGCTCAAATACGCTGCGCTGGAAACTTTTCCGAGGCGGCCCGGGAAGCGGCGCCTCCATCGCTAGGAGCGCAGCGCCCTCTGCCGAGGCGGCCGCCGAGGGGACCCGGCCAGACCCCCCGGGGCCGCCACGCGCCCTCGGTTTACAGAAACCCGGGGTTTCCACCCATTTCAGTTGCTAAAGTTAGACAAGCTCCATGGTCTTTCAGTTGCGACTTAAGCCCATGCGACACTCTGTCTTCAGGTAAGTTGGTGCAGTCAGCATCAGCTCTGGACTTGAGCAGATTACACAAGCAGGCCTAAAACCAGAATTTAGCCATTAGATTTACTATGAAAACTCAAGTTTCCCATCCCCAAAACCTGTATGGTAGCACTACAGCATGAAAACAACACATCCACCAGAGATAGTCACCCTAAAGCTGTGACAGCTAGTTAGAAATGTGCAGTTTGCACAATCCCTCTTTAGAATAGCACTTCACTTTAAACAATTATTTAGCCCTCTCAAAATCTCATCCAGATCCCTATAAAACAAAAGCAGCACGGTGGGTATTAATTAGTTTGTTAGATGGGCATATTTAGAAAAACACCTCTGTGTCCTGCAGGTGCCCATTTGTTCCTAGCACTGACGCTAGCAGAGATGAAGACAAGGTTTGCCCTGAAGCTCCAGGAGATGTTTCCCAGCTTGCAGGCTGCTCTACCTCTCCCCTTTTGCCCTTTTTCAGCACTACTTTCTCCTCCCAGCTTACTGAGGTGCCTCCCTACATGATTTCTGACTGAGAAGCTCCAGCAATAGCCTTTGAAGTCAGAGTTCACATGCATAATTCCTGTAACTATCTCTTGTCATAAGTGACTTATTACACATACACTTTTCCTTCACTGAACTCAAAAATACATATCACTTAGGTGACATTAAGTATGACAGCTGTAAACCCCTTACTGTTCATGAAGTTGAAAAACACAGCCATTTACACTATTTTATTGAACACAATCATGATTTTGTCCACCCATAAAACTGGCAAGGTGTCTCGTGAGCAAGCTTGGAAATGCAGTTGTCTTACCCTTTGGCTTATACTGACTTAAGGCCATGTCCCTTCACTACTGAAAGTAACTGTGAAATATGTTATCATTTTTTACTCGGTTTCCACAGATATTTCCAACCTACTCAGTGTAAACGAGAGAGAGAGAGAGAAAGACAGAGAGAGACAGAGAGAGAGCAAAGAGCCTACTAGATACAGCTAAGGGCAAAAATGAAAATAAAATAAATCTGGTCTGATAAAGAGAAAACTCTTTTCAATCACAAGAAAACCATCAGGCTCCGCTCAGTATGCCATCACAAAACTTTCCCATCCAGGAAAAAGTGTGTTTCTTTCTGCTCTGAAAGGCAGGTGGACAGTCTTGTTGAGCAGACTTCGTTTATACACAAATATTCTCCCAAAGCAAGCTCAGCTAAGCCAGTCCAGCACTCACGAAGACCATTTTTTCATCATAATAGAAGTCTACCCTACTTAGGGAAAAGTGTTTGGCTAAACTATAAATTTAAAATCCATTGAAACACTGCAGAACAACATTTGGCTCATAAATCAGGATTAAAACTAATACCAAAGCTGGAGGTATGGTGCCAAAGCCCCATGCAGAAACTGAGTTTTGGTTTCAGATCTCAGAGCTATCAGTAAGAAAGCTGCACCTGATCGGCTAATAAAAGGAAAATGTTAAATTTCCTGTAGCTGGAGTCACAAGATGCC